GGGGAGGGCGGCCCAGAGCTCTGGCCTGCCCGGCACCAGGCCGGTGGGCGCCGAGGCCCCTCGTCCCCTGGCAGCACGCACAGCGCCACAGCTTCCTGCGGACGTTTAATGGGTGTCTCTTGCTTCCTCAGCTGCTCTGTCCCAGGCTGGGACGTGCTGGCATCCCCTCACCTTCAGGGCTGATGACCTAAGGGAGTTGGTTATTTTCCCAAGGCGGGGAGTGGCAGGGCTGTGGTGGGAGCGGGGAAGCAGCTGCAGGAAGCCGGGAGTGAACGGGCCGGGGCGTACGCAGCTGGCTGCTAATTCTGAGGCCAGCTCTAGAGTCAGCTGAGGCCCAAGGTGCCAAGCAAAAACTAATTTCTGGCTGGAGGGTATTAATAACCATGGATACAAATACCCAGTGTTTAGTGGTGGGAGTTCAGCTCCACCTCTCTCTGGCTCTTTTTAACCTAAGGGTTGCCCTGAATAGAAGTCGATGCTTGGAAGACCCTGTGCTCGCCAAAGCCTATGGGAACCACAGCTGCCCAGCAGCACTGCCACCCCGACACGGTTGAAAAGCATCCTCAGTGCAGGAGTAGCAGAGGGGTTGGTTGTTTCTGCTTTTAAGCAGTAGTCCAGCCTGCCTCTCAACCCACAGCCCGCCTGCCCCAAAGGCATCTGCTCTCTAACCAGCCTTCAGGCTTTCCTCATCAATGCGCCCCTGTACCGCTTCCAGCCCCAGGGCCTCTTCTCCAGAGGCGAAGCAGACACCAGAGACCTCCCACCTCTTCCCGGCCTTGCGCTGCACCAGGGGCTGCTGACCGGCCGTTTGCTCCCGCGAGGCGGGAGCGCTGCACGTCACCTCCGCCCCAGCCGCACTCTCTCTTTGGCTTCTGGCGTTGGGTACTTGTGGGATGTACGAGCTGCAGCGCCTCTGACCACAGCCTCCCCGGCCCGCTCCCAAGGCAGGCCTGCAGGAGCGTGAAAGCCCCAAACCGAGACTAAAAGCGTGAGAGCTGTCAGCACAGTTATGACCGCAATGCGGCATAGCCAAGGGATTCACAGGAACATCAGACGTTTCCACGTCACGCCAGACCTGCAGCAGCAGCCCTGTTTTTGTGCCTGTCCAGAGGCCACGCTGCGCAGAGGAGCTGGGGACGCCGCGGCCCCCGGGCAGCCACCCCTGCAGCGGGGCAGCCGGGTGTGGAGGGTGAGCAGGGGGAGAGCGGGGCCTGCTCACGTGTGAGTCAGCTCCACAAGAAGATGAGCGAAACGATTCTTTCACTTCATCAGAACATGAATTTCCGAGGGTGTTTTACGGTGCGCTCTCACCCTGCGTTCACAGGTGCAAATTTCAGTCCTGGCTGTCACAGAGTACAACACTCCTCTGGACGTGTCATACACAGAGTAGCATGTGCTCACAAAGTGGACGGGGCAGCTGGCCATCATATGCCCGGAAACAAAAATTTACTGCATATAGTTGTGTTCGATCCTTTGACCTGTTAGTGTAACAACAGATTCGTCTAAGCCTTTGCTCTTTTACAAATGGACTGTTAATAAGAAAAACACACAAGATTAAGTAACGGAACTTAATTAACGCTTTAAGTATTTACCATCTTATTTCCACGTAGAAATTGTTCAAGTGCTAAGATCTCAGATTAAGAAATACTTGCTCCTTTTAGAGTTGAAAAAAGAACATAAAGAGAACATAAAACTGCTTTCTTAATGACCTAAAAACTTTCCAAATCAAGAATTTGAACATTATCACCCACAGGCATGAGCCTGATGTTTCACACCTGACATCTACATGTAAACAGAAGTCTGCCACAAGACCAGTGTGTGCATGATAATGAAAAGTCATTTTACACAACTCTTCAAATGACAGTATTTAATCATTTTCACATCAAAATCACTTTGTAGCTCACCAGCATTTTCTGTTTTTCTTTAAATATAAACCCAAACATTTTTAAAAGCAGCAGTTTATATCCACAGGTCTAATGCAAAATTGATCCTCTTTAAAAAGGGAAAATCCATGTGTTATGTGAAATATTTTCTGTTATTATAATGAAATGCAGCAAGAAGAGCTTGTATTTTTACAAACTCTTTTCTCCCAGAATAATAAAATTTCAAAACAAAGCATTTTCACAAAATCTTATTTAACCTTCTTTTACAAAGTATGACTTGTTGGACTTCTAACTTGGATTTATAAAATGACAAGTTACCATCTCAACAGGAGAAAAAAAAAAATGTAATCTGATACAAGGAAACTCCGTGCCAAATTCAGACTTTCATTTGCAAAATATGGACCATTTCTGAGATGTCTCTTACATTGCTGAGGTACTGCTCAGGAATCAATACTTTATTTACCACAGATACAATAGTTTACCTTGTTCTAGGGATGCAATTATGAAGCCAGAGCTGTTCATTTCTGGATACATGTTGCAAATGTACAACTACAAACCCAAACAGAATTCTTATTCCTTATCCCTCATTTCCTCCTGTTCTCCTAACTCTGCTACCAACTTCAACAAAAGACATGGAAGTAATCTATAAATCTTTATTGCTAGAAAGCTATGGTGAGACTATCATTCTTTGTACAAAAATATTTTAATGCAGTTATTTAAAAATGTTAAATAAGAGCATTTCAGTGATAAAATATTTTATTAGTGCTTCTGTTTGAGTGCATTGAGCAATGTATTGGGACTTAAAAAAAAAATTCTCAAGTTTCATTATCTGATCTTTCAATTTCAGACAACACCGTTAACAACAGAAGCAGATGCTGTGGTAGAGGAAATCATCCCAACAATGAGTTTCTGCACTGCCAGTTGAGACCCATAAAGCAAGATTCGGGGATGGTGGAGTGTGTATTTTCTATACCTATGCATATCAAAAAGATTACGGGAACTCTGCCGAGCCCGTGGAACGTGACCAGCCAACTGAACACCATGTCTCATCCTGCTGCTGGCAGGCAGGGGGGTTAGCTGTGATACAGGATATGCTGGCTGGAGCCAGCTCTAGCGTTTGGTGAGATGACAAATAGATCCTTTGTATGTTTGTTGGGTTTTTTTTGTCACTCTGAAGCATCACCAGTATCACTCACCTACTCACTCCATGCTATGCAAAAATATCCATTATTTAAACACTTTGTATAAACTCAACCAAGATTGCTGACAAGGTATATGGGATGGATACTCCGCAGCTAGCAAAGAACACACGAAACCACAATCGGAAGAATGGGAGACCTTATTTTGAAAGGATGAAAGCAAACAGAGAAACTGGAAGAAATGAAGCTAGCATCAGTTTCAATAAAATGATGAAAAGAAACTCCTGCTGCAAAAAAAGGACTATAAAGTGTATCAGTCTATAAGTGTACAACTTAATGTAGCAAACAATACCATATAAACCGTAAATAAAACAATGTCACACGATAGACAACCTTGTGCATGAAATAATACAACTTTTTATTCATGTTTTATAGCTTACTTTTATTTATTTTTGCTTTAATAATGCATATTCTGTTCACTCTGTGCAAAATTGGGGACAGAGGCGGGCATTTAAATCATCTAATGAAAATCAAGCGGAGATGAACATTCGAGTTGAGGGAGAGGCCTGTCAAAACCAGGAAAGCTAAAAAGCCACAGCTGCTCAAGACGAAGCTGCTCTCAGCTGCGCCCTTTTGTTCTGCCACCTCGCACAAACCTGGGTCTACTGACTGAGCCCCTGTACACGGAGATGATCACCTCCACCGGACACCGGGACAGGAGTCGTCATGGTAGCTACATTAGGGAGACCTGGCTTGTGACTGGCTCCAGTCAGTGTGTGGCAAAGAAAGGCACAAATCATTGCAAAGACCAGATTTCTGTTGGTTTGTTTCCTTCTCGTAAATACATTACTGTACACAACGTAAGTTTAAATTGTAGGGGATTTGGGGACATAAAATTGCATATTTAACAGAACTTAAAACTGTAACAAAAAGTAGGCTGTTCTATCTCGAAGCAAAAATAATCCCTCCAGCCCCAACATTAACATTCATTCCTGGCTATATGCAGTACAAACGTTTTAAAATCCGTGACAAAAGACAATTAAAAACCAAAAGTCAAAATCATAAAGCTTGTAAACAGATAATCTGAAATACACTTTATTTATGGAAAAATATCATCAAAATAGTACCACTATGGACTAAACTGCCTGAGTTTTCATTTCACCTAGGATCTTGAAGTAGAGAGCCTTTAGCACAAGAAGATCAATTTCAGTCACAACAAGTGCTGCACAGCACTGCTTCGGGTGGAAATTTTGTCCTCGCTGTTGGTATTTTTGTTGTGCTATCAAAAACTGTTGTGCTAATCCTTCAAATAAAGGGATGTTGAGGCAATTCTTACATCATTTGGCACAAAGTTATTTTGGCTGGGGCATAAATTTGAGTCTCAGTCATGAAGAATAATGGAACATTCCACCTATCAAGTATTCACTTTGATTGAAGAGCTTTCTTTATGTCGTTAACTTCCATCTGAAAACAAACAAAAAAATATTTGTGATGAAATGAGATGCTTTAACTAACTGAGGCACAGGTGGTGCCGCTTGAAAAGCACATGTTCCATCTTGGCCACAGGTGTTGAGTACGGGTTTCATACTACTCTTATTTCCACAGATTTTTCACATATTGAGGTGATCTTCTCAGCTGTATAAGGTGACCATTCACGGCCTCCTCCCCTCAGAGCTCGACAAGTACAGTCCTTGAATGTACCAGAAGACCTTTCAAACTCTCTAAAATACAACTTTTACAAACCACGCAACTCACTGCCAGGAAATTACTTGCAGAATGAGCACTGTGTCCGTGCACCAGCTGCTGCAGCTACACCCAGCACAAGTAAACTGAACTGCTGACAAAGAGCACTGGTAGCTGAGGAGCAAAACCTGTCATCTCTTTCCTATAGGGATGGTTCTTGCTGTAGGGATGGCAGTTGCCTTCTATACCCATCAAGCCTGTGTCCAGGCACCTTTAGGGCTCTGATAGCTGTACAGCCGTGTGGTAAAAGGATATGGCTGAAACCATCATCAGCCCTAGTTGTACACTTGGGCCCCTCTGACAGATGCTGGAAGCCCTGAGGCAGGGATATTAGACTTACTCAAACACACCCGCAGTAGTCAACTGTGCCATGTCATCACGGCAGTCGGTCTTCTTTAATACATGGACTGAGTGCTGTGCTACTTTATGACTATAAGAGCACTCTTAAACTAATGCAGCTTTTGTTTGTTGAACTCTTATCTTCATGTAAAGCTAATAATGCCACCTTGGCTAGCATCTGAACATTTACCAGTATAAGCAACACTTGAACTGGAGTAAAAGCATTCAGCTGTAAGATCACAATTTTAAAACTGTCAATTCAGGTCTCTGTATAAAGATGTAAAGCCATCCTTGGAGGTAAAATCCAGACCTCTGAATGGTCTGGCCTGTTAAACTAAATCAATGACAGCTATTAAAAATGTTCATTGATTTTATCTGAATAAATTTCAATTTTAGCTGAACATGAATTGTGTTACTAGAAGACACACTCTTATGTGGTTGCACGCATGAAGTCCTTTAGGCAGCCCTGGAGCACAGACATCGATGGTCTCCAGTTCTGCCACCCTTTGCCATGTTCCCAATGAAACAGTCCAGTGAAATTACAATTCAATTTTCTATCCCTAGTACAAAGAAAAAGTACAGTTGACCTATACCATAAAAATATAAAATACAATCAATACTAAACCACTTATCAAGTACATAGAATAGAATAGAATTAGAATAGAATAGAACAGAACAGAATAGAATGGAATAGAATGGAATAGATTATTTCAGTTGGAAGGGACCTACAAAGATATCTAGTCCAACTGCCTGACCGGTTCAGGGCTGACCAAGTTAAAGTCTGTCATTAAGGGCATTGTCCAAATCACTCCCCAAAACCCAGAAAAGCTGTTTCAATGTCATTCCATATCAAAGCAGCACAGTCAATGATCCTAACAAAGGTCCAGCTCCAGGACTCTCACACAAGTAGGGCAGCATGCTACCTGGCAAACGACAACATCTAAGAGCTAAGGTACTCTACAAACTATGGTAGCAGTAACAGGGCTCTTAATCAGAGCACCTTCTTTTATATTTTTAGGATGCTTTTGTAAAGACAACCTGATCACAGTCTGTCAAGCAGACATAAAAATGTAGTTAGCATAGAATCTTGCTATATGAAATACTATTCCAAGTATATCAACACTAAGAAAAGCCTGCTACAAAATATAAAGCTTTGGAAGGAGCAAAAAATTGAAAAAAAGCATGATTTCATTTGTGACAAAATCAAACCATTAAAACTGAGACTAAGAAATACCATAGTTTGAATCCTATATTGTGTTTATTTTTTTTTAATTTGTCTACTTGTGCTGATAAAGTTTTAGATAATTATCAAGCTTTTCAGTAAGAAGCCAGTATTGCAATATATACGACACAGACTGGCAAGAGGTGTGAAGGGAACAGGTATACCCCTTTCAGAAATGTTACTGGAATCTAAGTATCTTAGCAGAGTCTTATGCCCCATACGTGAGGCTAAATCAAACTGTACTAATTTCATAACATTATAAATAATTTAAGTACCTGCAATCGTAGACGGATCTTCTTTTCTTCATCCAACTCAGACAGCAATTGTTTAATCTCTTTTCTGTTAAAAGAATGCAAAAAAAGCTTGGAATGGAAATGATTAAACTAGTAAAATACAAAAGATCACTTCTTGGAGATATATTTTCCCTGCTTCACTAGTCAGCTTTTTTCCTCTGAACAGCTAATTAAGTACACTTTTGTATACTATATGCTATATTACAGAGAAGTAAGACTCTCTATAAAAGGACAGTACCCTCCCCACTCTGTATGGCTAATGAATAATACACTTCTTCCTAACAGCCTTGCATCCACAGGCTTTGCTCTGGACTAGTTGTATCAACACCATGTCAGCACCCAGTTGCCTTTTTTCCCATACAGAATGTAGATGACTTGGCTGTTGGTGGGTTACAGGAGCTGGTAACAGCAATCCTGCCCACGCTGTCACATACTTAAGGCCACTTAAAAGCTGGTTGTGCCAGCAATACAATGTAACCTTCAATTTCATTTGTTAAGACTTAATGATCCCAAATGTGGATTTGCTGTCATCCTTCCTTATTGCAGCCTTCCGGTACTTAAAGAGGGCTTATAGGAAAGATGAGGAGAGACTTTTTAGCAGGGCCTGTTGTGACAGGATAAGAGGTAACGGTTGTAAACTAAAAGACGGCAGATTTCACCTAGATTTAAGGAAGAAATTTTTGACAAGGAGGGTGGTGAAAGACTGGCACATGTTGCCCGGAGAGGTGGTAGATGCCCCATCCCTTCAAGGGGAAACCTTCAAGGTCAGGTTAGACGGGGCTCTGAGCAACCTGATCTAGCAGAAGATGTCCCTGCTTGTTGCGGTGTGGTTGGACTAGATGGCCTTTACAGGTCCCTTCCAGTCCAAATTATTCTATGATTCTTTGTTGGGAAGGGGAACATAGCTATAAGGAGCAGACACCTTCTCATGTTCCCACTGAGTGATCTCACCTTAAGACACAAACCAGTAGGTGGAAGCAGCCCGTGCAAGAAGGGCTGAGGAGACCAGAGGGGCAGGGATCAGCCTGAGGCAAAGCCGTGGGGCTCGCTGGCTAGAACCAGCTTGAACCATGCCCTCCTGCATCTTCTCCCAAACTCCCTGCACACCTCTGTTCCACCACAGTCTCTGCACACTGCTTTCCCTTTTTCCTGCCTGGGGCTATGCACAACTGACGACATAAGTGAAAGTTTAGCTTCCAAAACATTAAATATTCTCAGGAATAGCAAAACCTACATGGCAGCCGCAGTTTCTCCTAAGAAATGATCAGCTTAGAGAAAATAAAAATGCCCAACACTAAGATAGTAAGATTCAGGGCCATAAACACAAAGGTCTTCAAACATCCTAATCACAATTCAGTTACTTCTTTTGTAATACAAGTTTCCTGGGAAAATGTGCTAACAGTCAAACAACAAACTAATTTAATAATTTTAGGAACTTGTAGTGATTTGTACTACTACAACTAGAACAAATGCACGCCTTATTAAGATCAATGCACATGAGTTCCCAAACAGTTATTGGCGAATAAAACAACATAAGAACCTTATCCACTGCTTATAGCTTGTAACTTAACTTTTTCAACACCCTATAAACATCTGCTTATGTCATAACACAGAAAAAAACAGCTGTTACAGATTGATAGTGCCAGTCTGTTTTCCTAAGGTTCTCACTCCTGAATGTGTTCTGGCAGACGAAAATCACTCACAAACACAAAGGCAAACCGTGCAGAGTAACATACATGAAGGCAAGCTCAAGAAGAAACTGCCGCCACCATGCATGAATGGATGCGTTCCACCTACAGTTGTGATTTGCAGCACGTACTTTTGCTGGTCTTTCATGGTTTCAATGATGGTTCTTAGCTCCTTAATTTGTGTTCTCAACTCCTCCAGGGCAGTCTGACCTTGGCTCAAGTGCTCAGTCTTTGGCTTTCCTTCAGTACCGAACAGGGATGGGGAATTTGACCTGTGGCCTGTTGTTCCCATAGCAATTGAGTGAAATCCAGGTGACGGTGAAGGGGATAGTGATGGTTGTACACTACTGCCACTAGCCAAACCTCCTGTTTTCGGAGGCAAGGAATTTTTATTATCAGACACCTGCAATAAAAAGAACAGCATTTAATTTCTGGAGAAAGCTTTATGAAAATCAGACCTCTAACAAATATTAAGTATTTTGCTTCTCTTCAGTAATGTTGAAAGCCCATAGCCAAACATGGGCAGTTTTGGCAAAAGCCTGATAAACATAACAAGTAGTCATTATCCTTGTACATGTACATCAGAGGGTGTCTAGTTGGGATGCAGAAGTTCAGACAGCTTCAGTAAGACTTTCCACAGTTGCTACAACCAGTCAGCAGTAAGTGTTTCCAAGATCTCAGACCTAGCAATGAAAGGAACCAGGGACACGTGCTCAGTGTTTCTCTCAGAAGTCTGTGAGAACATACCTATGGACATCCATGTCCATGATCCATGGACATCTCCCATGGACCACAAAACAGCATGGCCAAGAATACAAGTTGTATTTTTTTGCAGATTAAATTTACCATTGCCAACTAACCATTGAAGAAATCTTCAACACTCATTGTTTTTTAAAAATTAGTAATTGTGTTACATGTTTCCTTTAGCATTATGAAAACAGCAAAATATTCCTTAAGCTTGCTTGTTGGTATGATATAAAAAGAAAAACAAAACCAAAATCCCATGGCTTCAAAATGATAAAATAATAATAAGTAATAAATGTACTGTACTGTCCTCTATAAACGGAAGCTTCTGTGAATCCCTATAACTACCAATGGCTCTTTATTCCTCCAGGAACTCAACAGAAAAACGCAGCTTTAACCTAGTTACCCTGGAACCATGTGGCTAGCTCAGAAGGCTCCCATGCTTCTTGAATTGCAATCCAGTGCTCTACTTATTAGACAAGGTATAGAAAATCTGAAGTCCACATACCATATATGGCCTTTTACTTCATTGCATACACAGAACAGTGTACAAGTACAGCTCTCACAATGGCAAGTCAGGTGAGTCTTAATTATTTATCACACTGTTGTTTGGCAGTGCTAACGTGTGCATTATATGACAGCTACCAGGAGTATCTGAAGATCTGATTTGCCCAAGAGTAAGAAAAAGCACTAGGGAACACTCCAATTCTATCTTTGGAAAAGAGATACTGCAGTTGAATGGCAAATAGGGTAAGATATTGAAAAAAAAAATGGTATGGAAATGGAAGGAGACATTGTGAGGACTTGGAGACTGGGGCAGTGGCATTAGCTGGACAAAGTAACTGAGAGAAGTTAGTGGCCACAAAAGCAGGATCCACAGAGTTCTGCAAAAAGCAGTCTTCCCCACTACGTGAGTGTGATTGAGCACAGAACCTGTCTTGGGCAAGCACCCCATAAAAAAGGTGTTCTGCAGAAAAAGCAGTGTGACCATAGAAATAAAAATGGTGTTACAATCACAAGAAAGCTGAATCACACCAGTGGCTTGAATGCTTGACTGCATGACCTTAATAATATTCTTTTAAAAATTTAAATATATATGTGTGCATGTGTGAGTAATGTGTGCTCATAACAGGATCTCTCATAGATACTAATCTTTGTACCAGTAGATGCAAGTTTCCTTTGGACTGAAAAAGAGATGTCAGGCTGAGTTCAAACCTGGAGCAAGTGAGCAAGGCACAACATCCACACTAAACACTTTATTCCAGAACTTAACTGGCTATCAACATTAAAGCTTCAGGCAGCTACTTTCTGATAGCAGTCATCTTGTTTTACAGGAAGAACATCTACATCCTTGGCATACCAGCATGTAATTCACAAATGTTGGCCCGAGAGCATTCCTTAATGCAAGTGCTCCCAGAAGAGGGAGCTATATAGCAAAACATTATCCCTCTAACTTGATCACAGACGTGCATGACTTAATCTTTCAAATACTTCTGTTATACGATTAGAATGTAATATTTGCATTATTATTATTATTTTCCTCAGTACATATTATTCTTATGTACTAAAAAACAGCTTCAAGCTCTAAAGCCTGATCTACATACTCCTGCTGTAATATTCAATTATCCTATAGTTTTCTATCAATATACAGTAAGAATGGCACAATGCCTATCAAATGAATACAATTATACCAGTATAAAAAGTGATTATACTTGAAAATTTAAATTCACATACTATTGGAGTGGGTCAGAGAGTTGTATTTTCTCTGCTCACAGACTCTTCTAACATAAACTTAATTTACAGCTGCAAGTAGGGGCCTTTGTTTCTAAAATTTATTTCCCTAGCTTCTCTGATTCCATGAAATATATTTACACTAGAAAGATTTTTTCACAGTGTGGCTATGGAGACATTTTAACTGTGCAATTCACTTTAGACTTGCATTTCAAACACAGAACAATCTTTAGTAACCCTTACAATTTTAAGCTTCTTTTCACCAGTTACCAGGTGACTGTTGAATTAAATTTTAAAAATAAATATTTGAATACTGTTTTAAAAAAGGAAGGTGCATGTGATAAGGTTAAGCAGAGATATTCCAATTAACTTACTTGTGATATTGTAACAGTTCTTGATTTCCTTGACGCTTCAACAGTTTTGTGGGTAATGGAAACATGTTCCTCCTTCTCTTCTTCAGGACTTGGAGAGTCAAAGAAATCGGGGCTTGAAAGGGACGACTATGTAGACAAACAAAAACAACCCCCAAGAGAGGAAAAAAAATGCAGGTATTTTCATTGTACAAGAATTTAACAAAGGAAGAAGAAAAGCATTTATGTGATGACTTTTTTAGTTATAATTTTCAAAGTAACAATACTTAAAATCAGGACTCTCCCTCACCCCCCTTTTTTTACATCTTGCTTCAAGGCTAAAATGCTTTCAAAGCATTTATGAAATGAGATATACTTAAGAGTTGAATTCAACATTAGCTTACATCTTTGCATTGCATTATATCCTAGGATGAAAGCGCCTTCCTGTCTGTGAGAAGAACTGTACCTTACTTGCCTAGGACACCGGACACCATGCTGGGGGGATGCCAGCTCTGCCGCCTGGGCCACTCTGCCATGGCTTTGCTCAGTGCAGGTCTCACTTTGCTGCTCTTCAGAGGATCCACGCTGCTGCCCGCGCACACTGCTGGCACGGCAGGGCTGCTTTGTGCACGGCCTCTTTGTGAAGGTGCAGACAGGGAAGGTTCTTTCCACCCCTTGCTCATTTCCCCATGGATTTGACAGGGGAAGAAAGAACTTTGAACTCATCTTTTATGTTTCTGTATTTATGTACATAATAAATTTTGAAAGCTTTCTTTTTTGTTTTCTATTAGTTTCACAATAATCATTTTTGCTTCCCTCCACTTCGTCTTTCTTCAGCAACATGAACACAGGTAACCACCAGTAGTTACTCTCATTCTGGTGTTCCGGAATGCAGAAAAGCACGGAAATGAACAAACCCCAAACCCCAAAGAAAAAGGCACTGAAAAACTAAGCAGTGGTTTCCAAAGTATGGTTTATAAGACCAAGTTGTCTAAAGACACATATTAGAGAGTGAAATTTAAATCACCCTTATATTTACAATTGTGAGCTTAATGAGAAGAAACACATGATGGCTCAAGGAGAGCTGTTGAAGGCTGAAACAGTCTGCTTGTCCTCAAAATCTGATAAATGTCCTAAAGACACCAAGGGAAATGCTTCTTTTGGGTAACACTTTCAAAATCCTTTAATACTTAGCACAAACTAGTTTATCCCGAAGATTTTTATAAAGGATTTTTCTGGCCTCAGTCATGGTTGGCAAGGAATACTTGGCAGCACCCAAATAAGGGGGTACAAATGTTGTAAGGAGGGAACATCAGTATTCAAAACACTGGCAGCTTTTTGACACTAATTTTCCTGAGCTGCATCTCTTTGCCTAACTGTATGTGTGAAAGAACGGCTGTGTAAGCGTACTAAAAACACCAGGGAACACAAATAGAAGGATGGAAAAAAATATTTTTAAAAGAAAAGGAAAATTAACTTACAGACGTGAGAGATTGGGAGGGTGGTCGCCTGCCAGTAGCTTTTGGTCTGGATGTAGTTGGATGATTAAGCTTCTCAGCAATTGGTATTACAGAGTCAAAACCTTCCAAGTCTTAAAAATAAGATAAAATTCATTTGGTTTTCTGGAAATTGTCCTCAAAGGGAAAGAACCACATTTTTTTTCTAATTCCAAAGAAATCAAATCCCATTTTCCCCATTGTGTCACAGTGTTCTGCATACATTTAGGCACCATGATGGCACTAAAAAAACCTGGAAGTCAAAGGCAGCTGTAATCCAGTCACCCTTGCCAAGGACAATTACCTTTCCATCTCAAACACAAGAGAGCAGAGGGGGAACGTGGAGAGGAGCTTTTTGGCTTTGTTTTCCATGTAGTGAAAGCTAAATGACAAGACAGGTCCTATGGCATGGAATAAACAGTTTCAAAATTTCCATCTTGCTATTAAAGGGGTTAGTAATTTTTTTTTCCTGAATATTTGGAGACATAAGACTGCACAGCTTCTCTCAAAAAATGTGCTGTCAGCTCTGCACCTGCAGCAATTGCTGCAGGCAGGACAGAATGAGAATGCTTGAGACGGAAGTGATCTGCAGGTTCCCGGACACCTGCAGCTGGAGGCAGCACAGTTTCCAGTAGCTACAGGTGAGAGGAATATCTCCTGTAGTCCAGAGGTTATGGCAAGTAAAAACTCCAACAGGCTCCTGAAGCTGTACAGAGCCCAGGAAAAACAGATCTGCTCAAATGCAGTCTCGACTGTCTTCACGGTTAGTGAAATGCACTGGGGAAGTGCTAGCCATGTGCTAGCGTGTTTATGTGAAAGAACGATGTGAAGGCTGAAGGAATATCGCAGCTCGTGAATACATGCCTGAATCAAATGGCTTAACGCCGTTCATCTATTTTTATGGATTATATCAGTTTCACTCACCTCCATTTTAAAATGCCCTATTGCGTATGTTAAGCAGAAAAGAATCAGAAAACATACAAGAGGTACTTTAGACAGGATAAATCAAAACTCTGTAAAATTACTTTCAGACGTGAATAAAATACTGGAGTGATATTCATTCTTCAGAGACTATTTTTCATTGCACACATAGGAAGGAATAGCTTTTAAGTTAATAGTTATATATACTAGGCACTTAATTTTCAGAACTGTTACAGAACAATGAATTTCTGAAGATCGAGCTTCGTTGCCATATTGCAACCATTGTACAAAATTACACAATGGAAAAACAAATTAATTAATGGGCCTGTGCAATAAACTATATGCACTCAAGGACACTTAAACTGATTCCAAGTACTCATAGTTTGGCAGCTAGGAAGTAAATGGGATCAGACATTCCTTATTCAGCAAAATTCTTCCATCTCTGGGAGATAAAACAAGAAGAAAAAAACCCCAAACCTCTTTCAATAGCCCTGAAATAGTCTAAGGTTATTCATCTCCAAATACTACTCTATTTTTGGTGCAACTCTTCCTATATATAACCAGTGACCCCACCGTCCTCTACCAGGTATTTCTCTCACTGCTTTTTTATTGACTGTTGCAACCCTTGTGCAAAGGTAGGTCACCCAGTCTGTCAATGGGAATTAGGCAATCCGAAGCCTCATTTGTACCCGACATACCAGGTGAGGCTACAGTGCTTTTAAAGGGAAGACAAGCTAACATTAGCAGAGTGCACAAAACCTATCTGGAGTCCTACAGAACTCCAGGGTTTCAGGAGAGGAGAAACGGAAGTAAAAATGTATTACCTGGGGGGAAAAAAAAGGCAAATGTAAGAGCTGGTTTCCAGTAATATCCAGTTTGAAGCTGACGTGTGAGATAGCTAAACGACTTGCTTAAGATCACTCAGCAGATCAGTGATGTAATACATTGTCTTAGTTTTCACCACTGTTATTTTGTTAAGTTGCACAGCAAGAGTATAGTGCCATCAAAAACATACACTCGCCTATAGACGTGTGACACTCACATACATGAGTACAAATGGAGGCTGAAGCAATCCTTCCATTTGTCCCAGCCACTCT